TATATTTTTAGGGAGAGTTGAAGTCTACAGTAAAGGGGGAAGATTTTTATAGTAAGCCTCTGTATGTATATCATCAAGAGTCCATCGTTGTTGACATTTTCCCCATAACTGGAAAAGTCATACAACTCTGAGAGTTTGCTCTTGTGGGTGATCTGTTTGCACTGTCACTGCAGGAGAAGAGGAGGGAAGCTGACCGATTCTCTGTCGCTCCATGGCTCTATCGTGTTTATACCCTAGTATCTGACTCCTGAGGTTTATGCATTACTAGAACAATAAGAGTAGCTGCAATAGTTTTCCCTCAAAGAACTAGGATCAGAACATAAAAGGTATGTTAGATAAACTGGAGGCATATATCTAGGTAGGAAGATAATCAATTAGGAGCCACTTTTAATATTTGAGTCTAACACAGGATAAGAATCACATGTGGAAAATTATTTCCCTAGACTCTAGATTATTATCATTTTTTTTTCAGACAGGGACTCTCTACACAACCCTGACTGTCCCAGAACTCACAATGTAGACCAGACTGACTTTGAATTTGCAGAAATCTGCCTCTGGGTACATTGGGGCTAAAGGTTAATGTCGTCATGCCTAGTTTAGACTCTTTTATTTCACAATGTTTTCTTCTCAAACTTTTATAGATTTTGCCTTAAATTCTTCAGATATTTTCTGTTACAGAGAAATTCCGAGGCTAGTCTAAATTTTGTGTTTTTCAAACTTCTTTTATCTCTTGAATATTTTTGGAATTATTTTCCTCTAATATGTAATTCACAAAGATTATAGATATCTCAGTTGGATTTAAACATTTTTCTTAGATAAAATATTCTGAAAAAGAAAAACATTCTCTTTTGCTTTTACAAGTTTTCTTCAGTAATGTCTCTATCTTTCTTTCCTCAATATTTCTGGAACCTCAAAGATGTGGCACAGTGGTAGAGAATGTGCCTGGTTTATAAAGCAACCTGGTTTTACTCTGAAACAAACCCCAAACACAAGCAAACCCAACCAAACCCAACCCAGCTTAATCCAACAGAAGGAAACCAAACTAAGCCCAAACAAACCCAAACAAACCAGTTCAAACCAAACCCAATCTAACCCAACCCAGCCCAACCTAACCAAACCAAATCCAACCCAACCCAAACCAACCCAACCCAACCCAACCCAACCCAACCCAACAAACCAAATCCAACGCAACCCAACCAAACCAAACCAAATCCAACCCAACCCAACCAAACCAAACCTAATCCAGCCAAACCAAACCCAGCCCAACCAAACCAATGCAAACTGAGAACAAAAGCAGCAACACTAAAAATGATTTCTGGAATCATCTATTAGTTTTTATTTTATTTTCAGATAGGGTCTGTATAGCCTTGACTGCCCTGAAACAAGCTCTTTGGATCAGGCTGACCTCAGACTCAGAGATTTGCGGGCTTCTGCCACCTGAGTGCTGGGATTAAAAGAGCATGTCACCTCCATCTGGCAAACAATTTTATTTTATTTCATCTTTTATTCTTAAGTTGCATAAATATTTTCATCTTTTTTATTATTTATTTACAAGCGTTGCAGTTTTCCTTGGAGTTATTTTTTTAAACACATAATTCTTTATCGACTTTTTGGAAATTTCACATCATGCACTCTAATACTGCTCACCTTCTAGTCCCTCCATATCTGCTCCATACCCCTGCAGCCTGCCCCCCAAATTAATTAAAAACAAACAAACAGAAACCCCACCTAACTCCTCTCTCTTTACAACACCTCTTTATATATCCTAGTGCCATCAGGAGCATTGAACTCTTTTTCTAAAAAAAAGATTCTTTTTATTTAATTTTAGTGTGCAAGTGTTTGCCTGCATGAACGTGTGTGTAGTGCATTGATTCTTGGTACCCTCAGAGGCCAGAAGAGGGCATCAGATGCCCTGAGACTAGAGTTACAAAGCATTGTAAGCTACCCTATAAGTGTTGAGAATTGAACCTGGGTCCACGACGAGGGCAGCAGTGACCTTAACCACTGAGCTATCTTTCCAGCATTGTTTTGAGTTCTTAAGAATATGCTTTATTCTCTTCGTCTATGTTTTGGTTTCTCACAGTGCCAATTCTATCACCCAGGTTTTAATCATATTGAAAGAAAGTTTAGTGAAACTTGGTGAGTATGGTACTAACTATCTAAAACTGGTATTTCCTATCAAAATAACATTAACTAGGTCTTTGCATTTATGATTTCTGGATCTTGATTATCTGGCGTCTGCTAGGTCTCTTTATCTAACCCTGCAGGGATTTTTAAGACCAGGAAACAGATTCCTGGGGATTCCTAATCCTATGGCTTTTATACATGGATATTTCTCCACAGAACCTTGAAAGTGAAGATTCCCTCTTCCTCATTTAAAATTTCTCAATCTTCACTGTTTTATAAGGACAACATACAAGTCTCATAGCCTGTCCCTTACGGCCATTCTCAGCCCAGGGCCGCCTATGTTTCCCTATATACCTTTGTTTTACTTCAAGCAGTAGTAGGTATTCTTGTATCACACACTTGTCCCTTCGAATGAGATTGCTGTCTCTTCGGTTCTCTGTCAAGAGAACCTCTGCTCATTCTAAATTGCCAAACAGTTACTCCAATGACATTATTACAAAAACAAAACTAAACTTTCTTTAACTTCTTCACTGAGAATTAATTGTTCCTCTCTTTCTGTAAGAGGACTCCATTACAGTTGTGTGTGTGTGCTTACCTTCAAGGAGTTGAATATAATTGGAATAGCATTTTGAATATATGCAGCATGGAGAATAAAGTTGATTAATAATCAACAAATACTCACTTGTTACCTACCATATGGTAAATATTATATTAAACTCCTATGGTATTTGGCTCAGTAACAGAGTCAAGGTTTCTGAAATTCTGATGTTCACAGCTCAGTGATGCCATGATAACACATGGCAAGTAAACAAGCAACTTCAAGTAATGACCCAAAGAAAACATTGGTATGGGAAGTCCTTCTGTGTATGTGTTGCTTTTATTGGTTAATGAATAAGGAAGCTGCTTTTGACCAATGGCTTAACAGAATATAGCCAGGTTATTTATATCTATCTATCTATCTATCTATCTATCTATCTATCTATCTATCTAT